TTGGGGATTTTTTTTGGAATTTGGGCATTTTTTGGGGAATTTCCCCATTTTCACCTTCTCAATGTCCACCAGCTCCGTCTCGTAGATCTCAGCGATGGAAATGTGGTGCTTGGCTGCGATGGTGAAACGGCCCTGGGGGAAAAAATATGGGAAAATTGGGAAAAATGGGAAAATTCTGAGGAAAAATGGGAAAATTGGGAAAAAATGGGAAAATTCTGGGGGAAAATGGGGAAAATTCCAGGAGAAAACAGGAAAATTCTGGGAAAAAATGGAGAAATTCCAAGGGAAAAGGGGAGAATTCTGGGGAAAAACGGGAAAATTCCAGGGAAAAATGGGAATATTTTGGGGAAAAATGGGGGTATTTGGGGGAAAATTCTGGCAGAAAATGGGGAAATTCCAGGGGAAAATGTGGATATTTGGGGGGAAAATGGGAAAATTCTGGGCAAAATGGGGATATTCTGGGAGAAAACGGGGAAATTCTGGGGGAAAATTCCAGGGGAAAATGTGGATATTTGGGGAAAAAAATGGGAAAAATCTGAGGGAAAATGGGAAAATTTCAGGGGAAAATGGGGAAATTCTGGGGAAAAATGGGGAAATTCTGAGGGAAAATGGGAAAATTTCAGGAAAGAATGGGAATATTTGGGGAAAAAATGGGAATTCTGGGAATGTTCTCACCATGTCCGTGTAGATCTCGATGGCCCGGATCAGGCAGTTGATGGCCTCTGGAAAAATGGGAAAAAAATGGGAAAAATGGGAAAAAATGGGAAAAAATGGGAATGGGGGCCCCAAATCCTCGGGATCACAATCCCATATTTTGGAAGTGTGGCCCAAATTCCTAAAAAATGGGTGAATTCAGAGATTTTTAAGCCTTTTTTTGGGAATTGCAACCTCCCCCAAGGGATTCCAGGCAGATTTTCCCTTTCCAGGTGGGAAAATTTGGGATAAAAAACATTCCCAGATTTGGGAAAACCTCCAGGGATTGAAAATGGGAATTGAAAAC